ATAGAGCCCGGCCCCGCTCTGCTCCGCCGCGGCGATGGCCGGCGCGGGGGGCCGAGCCCCGCTGGGTGCGTGCCGGGCTCCGGGAGGGGCTGGGCCGCCCCTGGCAGTGGCAGCTCCTGTGGCTTCACGCCTTGCCTGTCGTTCTCCCCTGCAGGTCTGCGGCGGTGGCTGTCCTCCCCTGCCCCAGCACCTCGGGTCTGCGTGGTGGGCAGCGGCCCCGCCGGCTTCTACACGGCTCAGCACATCCTGAAGGTACCGGGATGGGTCTGACGGCGGGCGAGGGCACGGATCTGCACACCCAGGGAGGCATCTCCGTGCTGCCTGCAGCCTCAGCACCTCCTGGGGTGGTTTAGTGGGCTCCTGGCGCTGCTCAGGCCAGGTCGGTGTTGTTGGGGGGCTGCTTGGGGCAGCCCAGACCCCACATGGTGCTCCTGGGCCTCTTTGGTTGGGGTAGGTACCGCTGCCTTCATCCCTGCTCTGCCCCTGGGCCTTCCATTCGGGACTTAGGTTGGTTGCTGTGAGTTCATCCCAAGTGATTTTTCTAGAATCAAATAATCTGCAGGAATCTGCCTCGCACAAAGCTCTTGTCACCCAGCAGGAATGACATCTGGGACCTGCTCTCCTCCTTCCCCAGCAGAATTAAGATACATGGGTGATGCTCTACCTTGTGTCTGTAGGTCTCAGTGCTCTGGGCAGTCAGTCAGGTCTGTTGGGAAATGAGACCTGAAAAAAGAACTGGGCTGCTGGCACCCTCCAGAGATAGAGCAGCTTAACCCCATCATTAAACCGTGTTGTTTTGTCTCTGGAACGTGTTGGAAAATAGCTGTTACTAAGCCTCAGGGACAAATTTCAGGGCAGCTTAATCTTGGGAAGAGGCTGCCTCAAAATACAAGATAACAAAAGCCTTGCAGCCAAACATCTGTCTAAGGCTCTGTCCCTGAGGTGACTCAGCCCAGGCCATCTCAGGGCATGGGCACCTCTGCTGGGGACTGGGAGATGTCTGGCAGGTCCCCCAGCACCCAGGGTGCTGCACTGGCTGCTTCCTGGCACGGGGGCTCTGATCAGCCCCCAGGTATTGGATACCCACCAGGTTAGTGTGGAAAAGGAGCTCAGGAGTGGGTAGGGAGATGGAGCCCCACAAGGTGGATGTGGTGGTTGTTTGGGGTCACTGCTACATCTTGTAGTCTGAGCTGGCAGTAACAGGTGCAGCATCATCCTGCTCATGGAAAAGTCTGGAAGAGGCTGTTTCTGGCTTGCTGCAGCCCAGCCTTCTGCCCTGTATTTCCCCCAGCTGCAGACGAGTGTTGCTAGGCTCCTGTGACCTTTCTGTCCTCAGTGAGACAGAAAGACTGACTTTCTTCTCCCACAGCACCATGGTGGGGCCCTGGTGGACATCTACGAGAAGTTGCCTGTTCCCTTCGGGCTTGTCCGTTTTGGAGTGGCCCCAGACCACCCTGAGGTGAAGGTTGGTGCTGGCTCCCTGCCCCTTGCCCGTGTGGTTGAGTGTGGTGACAGTGGTGGGTGCAGCTGAGGTGGTCACTGTCCTTCCTCCTGCCTCAGGCTCTCTGTGACATGGAGCTGTTAGACCAGAGAGGTCCAGATCTCCTCCTTGTCCATGCTGAGGCCATGGACAGGTGACATGGGACACCTGGCTTTAGGGCTCTGGGCCAGAGCCAGGGGCTTGTGATGGGAAGTGCAGCTCCTGGTGCTGGTCAGCCTGGCCTAGAGCAAGGCCAAGGAGCACAGATGGGTTTCTTTGTCCCAGGGCACTTTGTCAGCAAGATCTCACCTGCTCATTGCTGCTGCCATTTGCCCCTCAATCAGTACCTGTTCTGGGAACACACAGATCTCATGGGGGCTGTGGGGTTGGGCTGTAGGTGCTCTCCTGGG